AATGAAGTTTCATTACATTCAATGCTTGATTTTTGGGTGAGCCACCCAGTGGCTCCCTGAAGTTAACTAGCCACTGAGAAAGAAAACACAGGAATTACCAGCGAAGATGGGAGGTGGCAGGTATAAAGACAGGAGAAAACCCAGACTAGGAAATGCAGACAAAAAGCAACATACAAAAGATTGGGACCAGTAAGATCATCCCAATTCCGATGTGCCACAACTGTTAGACTGCTAAAACCCCCAAGCCTGAATCTCAGCCCAAGACCCCTTCTAATTTGGTGTGCTTGCAAACATCTTCTGCTCGATGGTAGACTGCAGGTTGGCTAGACATAATGAAACTGTGGATGACCTGGAAAGCGAGAGCACTTCAAACAGTTGACGAAGAAAAAAGGACCAACCAAAAGGATCAACAGGGGCAGAACCAGTAGCCCACAGGTAGCTGCAAAGAGCCACCGACAGACAAATTAGAAACCCCGGCCAAACCAACTAAACAGCAATCATCAATGGAGCGCTCCAGAACCAAGCCGACTCATTCTTCACCAGAAAAGAAGCAGAAGGCTGCAAATGAACAAAATGCAAACAAGACCAAAACAGCAAAACCCACACCTCCAGAGAAAAGCATGAAGCTCCCTACATAGCAGCTGCAGGCGAGACCCCCAAAACCAGCGTTGACTGTAATAAAATGTCATTATCTGGATGAGACCCGGAGGCTCCCATGAGCTGATATGGATATACAGTATTAGACTTTGCCATCAGTGTGAATGGAGTTCTTAGGCCTACTGGGGACTATGAGTCAGAACCAGGTTCCCTCAGAGAGGCATGAGGAGAAATGGCCTATAGAATTGCACATACGATTTGGAGCATTCAATGTCTGCCATCGACTGGGTCAGGCACCCAGAATGGAAAGCATCCAAAAACACACCCCTATTATGGTTGAAACTACTACTGAAAGTCAATCGAGTGGACAGAACTCCCCAAAGAAAACCGAGAAAACGAGCATGAAGTCACCTACATGCCATGCCGCCATCAGCACAGCTCCCCCCTCCCCAGAAGGGGGAAGGGAGAACCCCAGACCCCTCACAACGGCTACCCACATCTTCATTTCAGAGGCTGGATGTCAAAAATACGCAAAAAAACGCCGACCGGAGGGAGGGAGGGATGCCGGGAAGCCTCCGGGTTTCACCCAGAAAATGGCATTTCATTACATTCAACGCTGATTTTCTGGGGGAGCCCCTTCAGCTCCCCAGAGCTACTTACCAAAAAAAACAAAAACAAGAGGTACTTACCCGGGAGGCGTTCCTCAACGAGAAGTTGAGACAACTGGCTGCAACCGCTGACCCGGCTCTCGCTCCTCAACGAGAAGTCGAGACAACTGGCTGCAACCGCTGACCCGGCTCTCACTCCTCAACGAGAAGTTGAGACAACTGGCTGCAACCGCTGACCCGGCTCTCGCTCCTCAACGAGAAGTCGAGACAACTGGCTGCAACCGCTGACCCGGCTCTCGCTCCTCAACGAGAAGTTGAGACAACTGGCTGCAACCGCTGACCCGGCTCTCGCTCCTCAACGAGAAGTCGAGACAACTGGCTGCAACCGCTGACCCGGCTCTCGCTCCTCAACGAGAAGTCGAGACAACTGGCTGCAACCGCTGACCCGGCTCTCGCTCCTCAACGAGAAGTCGAGACAACTGGCTGCAACCGCTGACCCGGCTCTCGCTCCTCAACGAGAAGTTGAGACAACTGGCTGCAACCGCTGACCCGGCTCTCGCTCCTCAACGAGAAGTCGAGACAACTGGCTGCAACCGCTGACCCGGCTCTCGCTCCTCAACGAGAAGTTGAGACAACTGGCTGCAACCGCTGACCCGGCTCTCGCTCCTCAACGAGAAGTCGAGACAACTGGCTGCAACCGCTGACCCGGCTCTCGCTCCTCAACGAGAAGTCGAGACAACTGGCTGCAACCGCCGATCCAAAGTGACACAGGCCCGACTAGGCCCAGGAACAGTGACCAGGTAGTGTTGCAGCCAGGACCCTGTTTGAATGCCAAAAATCCTGTGCCTGAAAGTCAGCCCAAGACATGTTATCGAAGATGGCAGCAAGAGAGGGTAGAAACATGCACGTGCAGCTGCACAAGGCCAACATCCCGAGGAAGCACAGGGGCAAACAAGCATGCATTAAGGCACCCAAACTCGCCCCCCAGGGAACCTGCAGAACGGTAGCAGCCTCCCACCATTCGAACATGTGGGTCTGAGAAAACCCATGCCACGCCCCCTGCAAAAAGAAAGGGCAGTCAGCCAGCCAGGAAGACTCCAGGACCTTATAACACACCCATACGGGGAAGAAGAACCAAACTCAAATGAGAGTGGATCCGTCACAGAGGCAGAATCCGGGTCTCACAGGAGGTATGCCGCAAGTGCCTCCCAAACCTCCTTAGGCGAGATTAGAGGGGCAGAAAACCTCTGGAAGGAGCCGAGGAACCCAAAGAAACCTGGAAACGAACCAGGGGAGGAGCTGACCACAAATCATACTCATACAGGGAAGGAGGGGATAAGAAAGCCCCTCCCCCTGCAACAACAAACCCCGTGAAGAGGGGCACCAAAACACAAGCGGGATCAAAGGGGACTCCAGGTCAACTCCGCCTCCACCCCAGGATCCTCCAAACCAAGACCCGGGGCAGAGCAGTCCCCCATACCTTCTACCACTGAAGAAAAGGCAGAGTCCAGGAGAAAGGTAGAAAAGAAGGGGGGTCCTGCTGGTAGGACCCAGAAGCCTTGGCAGGAGGAACAGGCTCGAATGCCTCCATTCCCGACCCGAATGGGGCAGCCCCCGTAGCTGCCCAAGTTTCATCACCAACTAAACCCCGCCCCAAGTTTCATCACCAACTAAACTCCGCCCCGAGTTTCATCACCAACTAAACCCCGCCCCGAGTTTCATCACCAACTAAACCCCGCCCCGAGTTTCATCACCAACTAAACTCCGCCCCGAGTTTCATCACCAACTAAACCCCGCCCCGAGTTTCATCACCAACTAAACCCCGCCCCGACTCTGAAACCCTCAGATGTTTGGGAGCCTGGAGCAGGAAGGAAACAGGGCGAACAACACCAACCGGGGAAGGACTGGGGAGCGCGGACTGAACCAAAGTCAAAGCGACTAACACCCCCCTAGGTTCGGGTCCCTGTAACCAAAGTGGGGCAGCTTCAGGACATCCAGATGGGCAACCAACCTAGCGCGTTGCAGGAACCTAAACCAAGCATGCAATGTGGATGCTGCCTGTACCCGAACGTCAATGTTTATAGAATGGGTAAATTGGAGCCAAGGAGAGAACACCTCTCACAAAAGGTGTTGTTGACCCAACAAGCAGCATAACAGAAGCAAAACTGGTGACTGTCACCCTGAGACAAGGGCACAGAGCAACCTTCAAACTCGCATGAAGCGAGCTGGAACTCGGAAGACGCATCCATCGGTCCACCGAGCCCCAACAGGTTTTTCTAGGGCCTGTAGGCTGACTGCTACGGGAAGCCCAGGCAGGGTGTTGCAAAGACTGTTAAACCAAAGAGCTAACAAAGAGTGATGAACTAAAACTCTGAAACCCCTGCGATTTGTACAATCATGGGGGCCTAGAGGAGGGCCACCAAAATATCCTAAGTGGACTAATAGCCAAACAAAGCAGACCCCCACCAGGCAAGAAAACAAAAATAAAAGAAAACCCCGCAAAAGTACAACGTCCCTGGAGGAAACAGGAACAATGCCGCTGCATAGGTTGGCAAGTTTTGCAACACCTTGCGCCCTATCCAGCAACAGTGCCACTTCCTACCCAAGGCCATACAAAGGCCATGAATCCCTAGCTGGCCCTAAGGGCGGGGTAAATGCCAAGCAGCAAGACCACAGCATAAGAGGAGTCCCGAAAGAACTATGGCAGGTAAACCTAGCACCGAAGGGTAGCACTTACAGGGCGTTTAGAGAAGTCAGCCATAAGTGCATGCAGCCTCAGTACACTGTAGTTACTCCTGGCTACCACCGCCACAACACAGCAGAGAACACCACTAAGGAAAATTCAAAGAAATCAACGCCAGAGTTGATGACGGCCCCAGATCACATTAGCCAACAAACTGGGGGGTAAGTTCACGGGGTTTGTTGTAGCCGGTGCCAGGGGTCCTGGGAGGGCTGCGCAGATAAGCGGTGCAGCGGTGGCGGTGTGACATTTGCTTGTTTGTTGGTCGAGTTCTGCCTCCCTGTTCGGTCTTCAGCTGCAACATTCTTACCAAGTGGGTTTGTTTTGTTATGCCTACTTTTCTGGGTGCCTAACCTCAGTCGATGGCAGATAAGGAATACCCTCAAACACGGGTGAATTTTCCAGAAGCCACTGCTCCCTGTGCCTCTCTGAGGGGGCTAGGTTCTGGCTCGTGGTCACTGGTAGGCTGAGCTCCATTGACTAATGCCCCAAACTAATATATCCCATATTAGTCCGATAGCTCCAGGGAGCCGACAGTGCTCCCCACAGAAATATTGTATTTTTTATAACAATGGCAATTCTGCTACTGTATGAATATCATGTATCCCTGAGGGCTAAAATTTTGCATATTTGGTAGAACGTATCTTGAGATTATCTTGAGATGATTTCGGGGCTTTAGTGTCCCCGCGGCCCGGTCCTCGACCAGGCCTCCACCCCCAGGAAGCAGCCCGTGACAGCTGGCTAACTCCCAGGTACCTATTTACTGCTAGGTAACAGGGGCATTCAGGGTGAAAGAAACTTTGCCCATTTGTTTCTGCCTCGTGCGGGAATCGAACCCGCGCCACAGAATTACGAATCCTGCGCGCTACCCACCAGGCTACGAGGCCCCTAACATCCTACCAAATTTCATGTAAATATGAGATGGTTGGGTTGGGAGCTGTGATAATGATTCAACATAGAATGACCTAAAATAAGATTACAGCCAAAGGCAATTTATTGCTAAATTTCTGTTTTAAGAAATAATGAAAAGATGCACGAAGTTATAATCATCTGACCTGCTGTATAGGCTGCTGAGACTGCTGTTGCTGCTGTGATTGTTGTTGTTGTCCTTGCTGGGTCTGCTGCTGAGTTTGTTGTTGTCCTGGTTGTTGAGCGGACGACTGCCTGAGCAATTCTACATCTTTCTTATCACGGCTACCCTGCATAAAAGTAGAGTATGCTGCTTGCCCTGCAACCTAAAATGCATAAATGTTTACAAATCATCATCTCATTTCCCAATGTCAATGAGTGGGGGAGGCATTCCAGCAAAAATCAAGCGTTGAATGTTATGAAACACTCTTTTCTAGGCAGCCTCAGTTGCTCCCTGGGGCACTGGCTCTGGTACCACAGACATAGCCAAAAATCTACCAAACTTAACCACTGTTATGTTCTTCCCGTGGTATCATGGGAAAAGGGGGTGCATCACCCTACATATCATGTTTGTTAGGGTATCATAAGACTGAAAACTCCAGCAGGTACAAGGCGGCTCACATCCTGTTCCTCAGGACTCCAGTAAACAGATGCCACATTGACAAAAATTGCCTGCATCTCTCCTGGGTGTGAGAGCCTCAAGTGATTCATCGCCTGAGGCTCTCTCTAACTCTCTGTAAGCCAGAGCAGCCAAGGCTGGTGCATGCAGCTGCAGCTCACAGCACAACTGTGCAGGTCAGGGCAACACCACCACTTAATAATCACGAATAAAATAATTAACTGCAATCATCTTGCGATGGTAGTGCCTCATATGATCCTGACTGTAATAAAAAATATGTTCAAGGTTCAAAATTATGCCCAAGCTCACCCACTCCAGGATGACCTGACGAAGCGAAGGGAGAAGAAGCCTGTCCCGATCCTCCGAGAGGAGGAGCCGCCCAACACCAATAAAGGTTTGAGGACACGACCTGAAATGCCCACGAACCATGGGACCAAGCATGGGCAAACAGAGCCAGCCTTCCCCCCAGTGCCCCGTCAACGAGAAGGAGATAGTGTCCCTTCCGAGAAGCCAACTTACGTGCAGAGCGAACACTGCACCGACAAGATGAAGACGACTCCAGAGGAGACACCGGCACAGAAGCTGGCACCAAGGGCACACCTCGACCTGCAAAGACCTCAACCCTGGCATGACCTTTCCTGGAAGCGCGAGAATGCCCGCCCCAGATCACCAGCAAATCAGAAAGAGGACGGTAACTAGCAGAAGCTGCTTGCAAAAACTGAGAAACAATTGAGTTCGAAAACAATAACAGACAGAAATAATACTGCCGACACGTGAGGTGAGAGCCAAAAAATAGACGCTGCCTCCCAATGGATAGGCAGGTCAGCATAAAATTTCAGCAACGCCGCTGACGACCTAACTGCCGAGGCCAACACCCAAGATAACAGTCCGGCACTCAGCGCCTCCACATCCTCCACAAGGCAGTTCGAGGACAGCTCAAAAAGAGAAAAGAAGTGAAGGACCGAGGCCAGAAGGCCGTAAGAGTGAAGATCCTCTGCAACCAAGGCAGCCAAAAAAGTAAGAGACATGGGCGTGCAACTGGAACAAGCCATCTTCATGAGGAAGCACAGGGGAGTAAGGGCACGCATTTAGGTGCTCAAAAGCGCCTCCCAGGTAAACCTGCAGTACTGTAGTAAGCTCCCACCAATCAAGCAAACGACGGAACCCGTGCCAGGCACCAAGCAAAAAGAAAGGGCAGTCTGCAAGCCAGGAAGACACCGGAACCTCATAACGCATCCAATATAGGAAGAAGAACCAAACTCAAAAGAGACTGGGTCCATCACACTGGCAAAGTCCAGATCTCGTAGAAGGTACACACCAAGGACCTCCCGAACCTCTGCAGGGAAAATCCGAGAGGTGGAAATCCTTCAAAATGACGAAGCCACAGAACCCAAGGGAACCCAAAAATGAATCTGGGGAGAGGCTGAACCCGCATCACTCGTACAGGGAAGGGGGATACGAAAACTTTGAACCTTGCAACAGCCAACCTTACCCCGAAGGTTCCAAGGCCCAGGCAGGATTAAAAGGGGGCCCATAGTGCCTCAGGCCAACTCCTCCCCAGCCCTGGAATATTCAAACCCAGGTTCCAGAGCAGAGCCAACCTCCACCTTTGAAGAAAAGGCAGAGTCCAGGGGAAGGCATCAAAGAAGGGGGGTCCGCTGATAAGACCCAGAAACCTCAGCGGGAGGATCAGGTTCAAAGGCCTCCGTCCCCGCATCAAATGGGGCAGCCCCCGGAGCTGCCCGAGTTTCATCCCCAACTAGACAGCTCTAGGAAGCACACAGGGAAGCTGTGCACATGCAGCTCCAAGAACTCTTAACTCCTGGCTCAAGCTGCACAGAAGTGTAAAGGAACAGCCACAAAGGGGGGGGGGGGGACACTTAGCAGAATTCTGGACATTGGAGTCAAAGTGACAGAGAGGGCAACCAGACCCCTCTACCAATACAACTGAGGATGGAGCAGCCAATTGACCTGGTAACTGGGTCCACCCATGCGAAGAGGCCCATGGCAACAATGAAAGGGAAGCCAACTGAGTATACACACCAGATCTAACTAACAGGCTGTCTCTTCTACCTCAAAGGTGGAGGTGAGGTGAACGAGCTTGTGCTAATTTCGTGAATTTTTTATCATTTGTTAACACTGTTGGGGGAAGTTCTTTTGCAGGTTCTTAAGGGAAGCTGCAGTTTCATTTATATCAACAGTGGTCTGTTTTGTTTCACTGGCTTTTTGGGTCTTCCTCGGTGATGGCAGACAAATAAATTCATAGAAATTTCATTGCAAGTACCACTGCTTCTTGTGGTACTCACTTGGCCCTCTAGAGGGGGGTCAAGTTCTGGCTTGTGGTCTCTGGTAGGCCAAAGAGAAGTCAGTGACTGATGGCACATAGTAGTTTGGCACTATATCAGTACAATAGTTTCAGGGAGCAACCAGGGGGGGCTCCTCCTCACAGAGAAAATGCCTTTGAATAACAATAACCCATGCATGATCCAAAGACCAAGGAACAACAAGTGTGCCAAGAGATAGCAAAATGTCACTGAAACGGAAAATAAAAGAAGGGCATGAAGAGAGCGGCCACCAGCTTAACAGACAGCTAGTTAATGAGTTGAAAAGGCCACACATGAAGAATGGAGAAGAGCCTCGAATAAACAACAAATGGCTCCCGACAGGCCACCAGGGAGCCAGCATGGCCACCCAGCCTGCAAATTTCTACAGCCAGGACAGCACCAGGAGCAACAGTTCAACTGTAGCAAAGGCATACAGAAACCCCCAATGGGACTCGGTCAGTTGAAAAGTATCCACCACAAGAGCATCACAACTTGAGAATGGAGCCCCATAGAATGAAGCTACTGGAACCACCATACGAGGAGGCCCACGGTGACAATGAAAAGGAAGCCAACTGGAACACACACCAGATCTAACCAGGACTGAACCAGCAGCAGAACCAACTACAAATTCACTTGTCCACAAGGAACCCAAATTTGCGGAGCCGAGAAAAGAGCAGAACCCTGGCTTGAAGACATGCGGACAGGCTGGGAAACCAAACTAGCCAGATGTCAAAGCCAGCAAGACATGAACCACAACCTAACAACAGGAGAACCCAGCTTCAGTTAGGGTGATTTAGAATCTTGTGCTATCTGCACCTCTGTGAGGGGAACCATGTTTTGGCCTCCAGTAGGCTATTAATGACTCACAAGGGCCTGGTGTAATTTGATAGGTGTGGAGCTATTCAGAGCGGCTAGCAACGTGGAGCCACCTTGGAAGCCCTCTAGTAAATACTGCACTGAACATGGTCTCCACTGCATAATAATAATAGTGTTCCTCCTTCCCAAGGAAGCTGGAACACTAACTCCACATGCCTGAGCACAGAGGCAAGCTGGACCACTCTGTGACCTGAGCTGTCATAAAGTGGTGTACTACCACCATATAGTTTGCTGACAATCACCATATTATTCCCTCCCTTTTACAAACTCTTTTATCTCATTAGTCAACCTATGCAGTTTGGTATGCTTTGCCTTCACTTTCTGGGCAGCTTTATTCAGTTTTGGGCTGATGATCTACGATGAATGGTTCCTCTTGCCTCTGTGAGCACACCAGAATCTGCTCCTGGTATGTGGTAGGCAAGACCAGGGGTTTGGTAGTGTTGTGGTTATAACTGTGGTATAGTGCCACAGCCAGGGGCTTGGTAGTGTTGTGGTTGTCACTGTGGTATAGTGCCACAGCCAGGGGGGGGCTTGGTAGTGTTGTGGTTGTCACTGTGGTATAGTGCCACAGCCAGGGGCTTGGTAGTGTTGTGGTTGTCACTGTGGTATAGTGCCACAGCCAGGGGCTTGGTAGTGTTGTGGTTGTCACTGTGGTATAGTGCCACAGCCAGGGGGGCTTGGTAGTGTTGTGGTTGTCACTGTGGTATAGTGCCACAGCCAGGGGCTTGGTAGTGTTGTGGTCGTCTCTGTGGTATAGTGCCACAGCCAGGGGGGGCTTGGTAGTGTTGTGGTTGTCTCTGTGGTATAGTGCCACAGCCAGGGGCTTGGTAGTGTTGTGGTTGTCTCTGTGGTATAGTGCCACAGCCAGGGGCTTGGTAGTGTTGTGGTTGTCACTGTGGTATAGTGCCACAGCCAGGGGGGCTTGGTAGTGTTGTGGTTGTCACTGTGGTATAGTGCCACAGCCAGGGGGGCTTGCTAGTGTTGTGGTTGTCACTATGGTATAGTGCCACAGCCAGGGGGGGCTTGGTAGTGTTGTGGTTGTCACTGTGGTATAGTGCCACAGCCAGGGGGGGCTTGGTAGTGTTGTGGTTGTCTCTGTGGTATAGTGCCACAGCCAGGGGGGCTTGGTAGTGTTGTGGTTGTCACTGTGGTATAGTGCCACAGCCAGGGGGGGCTTGGTAGTGTTGTGGTTGTCACTGTGGTATAGTGCCACAGCCAGGGGGGCTTGGTAGTGTTGTGGTTGTCACTGTGGTATAGTGCCACAGCCAGGGGGGGCTTGGTAGTGTTGTGGTTGTCACTGTGGTATAGTGCCACAGCCAGGGGGGCTTGGTAGTGTTGTGGTTGTCACTGTGGTATAGTGCCACAGCCAGGGGGGCTTGGTAGTGTTGTGGTTGTCACTGTGGTATAGTGCCACAGCCAGGGGGGCTTGGTAGTGTTGTGGTCGTCTCTGTGGTATAGTGCCACAGCCAGTGTACTGAGAAGCTGAAGGCCAGCCCAGAAAACATAC